AGGCAGCAATCCGCCACCTCGACCTCCGGGGCGAGAAAGCCCTGTTCGTAAGTGCGGATCCGACATAAGTCGGATCCGCGTAAGTCGGGGGCTGCCTGTACTCATATTTAAATTTACATGTGCTTGTTGCAGTATCAGACTAGAATAGCTTTTAATAAAAAAATGTTTTACTAGCATGAAATTATTGCTGCTTCAAAGCAAGATGGCTTAATTGTAATTACTGGAAAATTATTTAAACATTTAGCACACTAACACAATAGTCAACTTTTTATATGTGCAGGCCAGTATCTTAGTTTTAAGGGTAGGGCTTTCTCCCATCACTTTCCAGTACACTTTAGACCATGACCCTGAAAACTTTTAAGGGCATAACTTTACTACCGGGGTATCAGGGTCTAAATGAGAGGAGCGCAAGTTCCACTCACATCAAGAGGAGCATAGTCTGGTGACAGCATGTCAACTTTTGGAAAACTTTTTAAAGAATTGCTGGTCCATGCTGAGGTAACCTGAACATTGAAGTATAAAGTAAAAATGTAGATAAGTCTTCTTCAGCATTTGGGCTGCGCTTATCTTAAATTCATAACTACATTGTAATTCTGTGGTGGCATTTTTTTTTTAGGTATCTACAGAGCAGTTCCGGTTCGAGTTAATCCAAGAGTGAGCAATGTAAAATCTGTCTATAAAACTCACGTTGATGTCATCCATTACCGTAAAACTGATTCAAAGCGTTTGCATGGTATTGATGAAGAAACTGAACAGAAAATGTTTGCAGAGGAACGTGTGGAAATGCTGAAAGAGCTCTCCAGAAAACCGGACATTTATGAAAGACTTTCTTTGGCTCTGGCTCCAAGCATTTATGAACATGAAGATATCAAAAAGGTAAACAAAATGTTATATGTGTAGAGGAACACCTGAACAGAACTGCTGTCCCCCACAAACACTGGTTACCAGGAAATGGTGAGCCTCACCTTTTGACAGATGAGGCTTACCAGTTAACCATTTACATTCCTTACATTTATGTGGGGCTCTAAATTGTTCATAATTATAGTGGGACATTAATTCAATATAGGTGAGGTTGAGTCTAGCTTACTGCTTCTTTTCTATGAGAGGATCCTGCCCATCCAAGCCCTACTGACAGAGACCCATAAGGAAGTGCTGACAGACAGCTGTCCTTGGGTCCTGCTCTTGCACCAGGTGCCCTGCTACAATAACAACGAGCAACATTTTTCTCTTCCCCGCTTCCAACCTCACCTGCCATCCCTGGAGTACCTCCAGCTCCCCTCACCATCATCCCCCTGTGTACTTCCAGCTCCTCCTCACCTTCACCTCCTCTCTCATGTCCTCTTTTTGAGAACATGAAATATGGTAACCCCATGTGCACAGAAAGTTACTGGCACGAACATAGACTCCTGAGTCACATGCCTTGCTAAATCATGAGGCATTCATTGCCTAGGCACTGCCTTAAGTCACTTGCAGAGGGATCCCCAGCTGATTGTCCTTAGTGGGACATGAAGCAGGCTGGTTACTCTTGATGTAAATCGGTCCAGGAGGTGTCACCCAGAAATACAACAGGTTTGAAATTAAAACAAATTGAGTTTAAGTCAATGTACAATGATTATTCATGCTTTTAAATGTGATAATCATATTTATCATAAGAACAGCCGTAATGGGTCAAACCAGAGGTCCATCTAGTCCAGTATCCTGTCTTCTGACAGTGGCCAATGCCAGATGCCCTATAGGGAATAAACTAAACAGTCAATTGTCATGTGATCCATCCCCGGTTGCCATTTTCCAACTTCTGACAAACAGAGGTTAGGGACACCATCCCTGCCCATCCTGGCTAATAGCCACTGGTGGATATGTCCTCTTATGAATTTAACTAGCTCTTTTTTTTTAACCCTGTTATAGTCTTGGCTTTCACAACATATCATTGAAGCTATAAAGATAAACTACACTACCCTTTTTAGTAACAGTTGACACAAAACAGTACTTAAGCTTTCAATGTGCTCTGTTAGGGTATGTCTACACTAGCCACCCTAGTTTGAACTAGGGTGGCTAATGTAGTCATTCGAACTTGCAAATGAAGCCCGGGATTTAAATATCCCAGGCTTCATTTGCATGTTTCACTAAAACTCTAGCAGAGGACCGCAACTGGCTGACCAGTTCCCAGTTTAGAGTGGTTGGTATTGAATAATGGGATTGAGCAATGTCTCTAAGGGTATGTCTACAATACCACCCTAGTTTGAACTAGGGTGGTTAATGTAGTCATACGAACTTGCAAATGAAGCCCGGGATTTAAATATCCCAGGCTTCATTTGCATGTTCACGGGCACTGCCATTTTTAAATGCCTGGTAGCTCGAACTACCTGCCCGTGGCTACACTTGAGTGTTAATTCGAACTACCTAGCCTGTGCTGCGTGTAGCCGTGAGCAGGTAGTTCGAGCTACTGGGCATTTAAACATGGCGGCGCCTGGGAACATGCAAATGAAGCCTGGGATATTTAAATCCCGGGCTTCATTTGCAAGTTTGAATGACTACATATAGCTATGCCTTTAATTATTTTAGACAGTTTTTTTGTTTTATATTTGAATTCACTCATTCATCAAATATTGGCTGATGTAATTGATCAAGAGTTTTGGTGTCTGAGCTAAAACCAATCTTATTTTTATAGGGCATTCTGCTTCAGCTGTTTGGGGGAACAAGAAAAGATTTCAGTCATACCGGAAGAGGCAATTTTCGTGCCGAGATCAACATTCTTCTGTGTGGCGATCCTGGCACTAGTAAATCACAGCTGCTTCAGTATGTCTATAACCTGGTTCCTAGAGGCCAGTACACATCTGGGAAGGGCTCTAGTGCGGTTGGTCTTACTGCATATGTAACGAAGGACCCAGAAACAAGGCAGTTGGTTCTGCAGACAGGTGCTCTGGTTCTGAGCGATAATGGCATTTGCTGCATTGATGAGTTTGATAAAATGAATGAAAGTACAAGATCAGTACTGCATGAAGTAATGGAACAACAGACTCTTTCTATTGCCAAGGTAAGATGTTAGCACAACATTGTAATATGCTACCTGGGTTAGTATATTAGATGATTAAATAATTGAAAAGGTAACACAGGAATTGGAAATAAGGTTATTGACAGAACCTCCAAGTTGAATAAGAGTATAGATGCTGGAGCTGTATTTCAGTGATAATTCAACATGTTGCAGACTTGGCATATGTGGGTCTTTCTTGTTAGAGTGGGTTTTGGGACTCCTAACATAGCTGTGGGAAATTTCCTTCTACTAGACAATCTTGTTTTCTCTCTCGTACGTTTCCTCTGGACAGGCTGGAATCATTTGCCAACTGAATGCTCGCACCTCTGTCCTAGCAGCTGCTAACCCTATAGAGTCACAGTGGAATCCAAAGAAAACTACTATTGAAAACATCCAGCTTCCCCATACTTTGTTATCCAGGTACTGTCATTAGACCTTTTATGCTGTGTGGTTGGTTTTTAAAAAAAAAAAAAAAAACGTTTCTGCTTTTTCCTGTATCAATTGTTTATATTTATGTCTGCAGGAATATGAGGATTGGGGGTGGCATTTGCAGTGTCAAAAGTGGAAGTGTCTTTTTAGTGAAGACACCAAATTTCACTAAAACTCTAGCAGAGGACCGCAACTGGCTGACCAGTTTCTAGCTTAGAGTGGTTGGTATTGAATAATGGGATTGAGCAATGTCTCTAAGGGTATGTCTACACTACCACCCTAGTTTGAACTAGGGTGGTTAATGTAGTCATACGAACTTGTAAATGAAGCCCGGGATTTGAATTTCCCGGGCTTCATTTGCATGTTGCCAGGCGCTGCCATTTTTAAATGTCCGCTAATGCGGACTCCGTGCCCGCGGCTACACGCGACACGAACTAGGTAGTTCGGACTAGGCTTCCTATTCCGAACTACCTGTATGCCTCGTGGAACGAGAGAGCAGTGTGGATGCTCTCTTGCGCAAGAAAGCTCTGATGGCCATTTTAACTATAGGGGCTTCCTGTGCAAGAAATTCATATTGCCTGTCTACAGTGCCCTCTTGTGGAAGAGCTCTTGCGCAAGAAGTTGCCAATGTAGACATAACCGAAAATGTATACGCTAACTATGGACTCGTTATTCCATGCAGATTTGACTTAATCTTCCTAATGTTGGACCCACGTGACGAGGCCTATGACAGACGTCTTGCTCACCACTTGGTTGCGCTGTACTACCAAAGTGAAGAGCAGATGGAAGAAGAGTACATGGACATGGCAGTATTGAGGGATTACATTGCATATGGTCGTAGCTATATTAATCCTAGACTAAGTGAAGAAGCAAGTCAGGCCCTTATTGAGGTAAACAGTTGTAGATATGAAATGGGAAGTACAAGATGAAAAAGAAAGGAAGAGGGGGGGGAAAAACCCTTTGTGTGGCTTAAGATGTACCAGAACAGTGTAAACCATTTCCTTTAAAGGTCACTAATTTTCCATGCAGGGAGACTGATGGGTCCAGGTCCCTTCTACCTTTCCACAAGAGATGGGGCTACCCCTTGGGCCACAAGTTATGTCAATTTGCTGAATCAAAATGAAGGCCAGGAGTTGTTCTTCCTTTTATACCAAAGCCCCTTGTTTCCTAGTCTCTGGAAAACATAGCCTGAATCAGTGTATGCTAACTACCCAGCCTGGAACTTCTCTGGGAAAGTTAATATTCAGTGATCACCAAAGATAATGTGCAGGGTTGCAGTAATATCTGCCCAATTCACAGCTTTATTACAGGTTCAAGCAAAATGAGACATGTACTAGCTGTGGTAGATGTCAGTCACAGCAAGGGACATTGTGAAGATGTACGGGGGTGTTTATATTTAAGGAGGTACAAAATATTTGGAGATTTTCCCCAGTCTGAGAATCCTCTGAAGGATGGAGTGTGGATACAGCCTACATAATACATCTGTGAATTACTGCTATGTAAAATATTACCCCCTTCCTTCTCCTTCAGGCTTATGTGGACATGAGAAAGATTGGCAGTGGTAGAGGAATGGTTTCTGCATATCCCCGACAGCTTGAGTCTCTGATTCGCCTAGCAGAAGCTCATGCTAAAGTACGTTTTTCAGACAAGGTGGAAACAATTGATGTTGAAGAAGCAAAGCGCCTCCATCGGGAAGCCCTGAAACAGTCTGCTACTGATCCAAGGACTGGCATTGTGGACATATCCATTCTAACTACTGGTTTGTATTCACATACGGATAAATGGGTCTGGCTTGAGCAAAATACATGCTATTGCAGTTTGATGGTGTTGTTTCTGTGATTAATTTGTGGGTTTGTAAATGTTTCAGATTAGATATTGAACAATCCAAGTAATGAATGTCAACCTAGTGTAATGTCAAAGTCAGTATATTCATTTTACAATGAAATGAGATTAAATACATTTATTTAATCACATGTTTATTTGAAATCTACAAAACTTTCCCCAAATATCACTAATACCATCAGTTTCTGATAATGACATGGTCATTTCTGCTTTCAATAAAAGGGTCCGTTTTATAACCTTTGTAATTTATGTACTTTTTTCCCCAAGGTATAAGTGCCACTGCCCGTAAACGAAAGGAGGAGCTGGCTCAAGCCTTGAAGAAGCTTATCCAATCAAAGGGTAAAACACCAGCACTAAAATACCAGCAGCTTTTTGATGATCTCCGTGCACAGTCTGATGCAGTAAGTTTCTGCTTTCTTTTGTATACTACTTGGTTTTAAAAACAACTTTATTTATTTCTCATCTCATGAGGGATCTTGTGGGTACTCACTGGGGGTCTTAGCACAGATGACAACTGTATCTTAGTTGAATAGAAAAACTAAATGGAACTCTCAAGTAAAAGTAGAGATGTTAGTTTACCTCTGTATTTGGCACTTTGGCAACTGCTGCTAGAATACTTGACCAGTTCTGGTGCCCACAATTCAAGAAAATGTTAATAAATTGGAGGAGGTTCAGAGAAGAACCCTGAGAATGATTAAAGGATTAAAAAAAGTGCCTTAGTGATACTCAGAGCTCAGTTTATTTGCTTAACAGCGAGGAAGGGTAAGGGGCAAGCTAACTAGTCTTGAATCTGCATTGGGAACAAATACTTAGTATGGTCTCTTCAGTTTGGCAGAGAAAGATAGTAGTATCCACTGGCTGGAAATTGAAGTTGAACAATTTTGAATTCAGGGTTTGCTCTAGCATTTATAGGGATGATATTTGTTATACAGGTAGTCAGATGTTTGCAGTGGTTCCCTCTGGCCTTAGAATCTATTTGCTTGCTCTCCACCTGACACATGAATAGGAGGTATAAGAGTAGTCTCCTAGTCAGTTGATAATCAGGTGTTCCTGATGAATGTTTCTTTCATAGACATAAGCTTCACTTGTGGAGAATAGACAGGATCTTGGTTACTTATATTCTTGTCTTGCTGACAAAAATAAGCTGATAATTCATGCCAACTCTTCTGGTTTGCATGTCAACAAAATCATAAGCCATGATCGCAGACCCATATTAGCATTGAGAATGCATAAGCCAGGAAAAACACACATTCACTGGTGCGCTCCATAATGTATTTCACAGCTTAAAAAAACTTTTACCTAAAACCTGGCAAATTTGCATGGAAGTTGGCAAAAAACAGAATCGCTTTTTTTTTCTCCCTAGGAGTGTGGGAGGATGTAGCCTTTTCTGTATGGTCTCAGACTTTTCTCTTTTCTCTTTAAGGCTGTCACTAAAGAAATGTTTGAAGAAGCACTTCGTGCCTTGGCTGATGATGACTTCTTGACTGTGACTGGAAAGACTGTTAGGTTGCTGTAATGAAATGCCAGCTTAACAGCAGAGTGTTAGTGTTTTTCTCCCAAGTATTTGCCTTGAGGCCTCTCACCTTAAAGATTATTATTAACTGTGGCAAGATTCATGATCCTGATCTGTGGGTGAACATTACTGCTAACGCTATAAATATCTAGATTTTGAAGGACTGCACAAATCCTAAACTAAACACAGTGATATTTGCTTGAACAAAATGGGTTGCAAACACTTGAGTGCAATGTGTGTTTTCAATAAAATGCTTTGTAGAACAAGCTAACAATTTTTATGCGTTCTAAAACCTAAATGTCAGAATACATCTTGAACCACTGCTATTTGACATAAATGTGAGTTAAATCTGTGCATATTTTGGTTAAGTAGCTTTAATACAGAGGAATTAGTGCTTGTGACTTTTAGAAATGAAAGTCCATTGGCTTTATAATACTTTATTTTTCTATTCATTTTAAACAATGAAGTTAAATCTTAGGGAACACTTCAGCCTCATGGTCAGCAATTGCTAGTAGACTACAGTACTATTCTATTGTCTAGCAAACAAAAGAACCAGGTAACTATTTTTTTTCCTTTCCCCTGGTATTACTGCTGTTTCTCTTCCTCCCATCAATGTTTGCAATTGCTAGTCTAAGAAAACTTTCTGCTTTGAATTTAATTTTTACCATAAGCGACAAAGAAGTCCAGGTTTCACATCGGGTCATTTTTCTACAGTAAATACATAATACTAGAAGATTTATAATTGACAGGCCAGCTCAGACTGTCTTCCCAGTCATTTTCTCTTCTGTTGGGGTTGGAAGACAAATCAGAGGATGCAGCGTGTAAGCATAACACTAATACTATACATGTGGAAAGGTGGCTTTTAGCTATTTAAATTATGCTCTTCATCTGCGCTCCGAGCAGACGGTCTGCTCTCATACTCTTTGAAGATCTGACCATTAAAAGAGATTTTTGGGAGACTGAAAACAAGCTGAAAATGAATAAAGTTCAATACATTAGAAACTGACCATTTAATCTCATTGTTTTGAACTTGTCAACATTCAGCTCATTTAAAAAAAAAAAAGTGTGTTTCACTGATCTTCATTACTAAGTTATAGTAAGTATAGTACACTTAGGTATGAAGAAGGATAGGACTTGCACATGACTATTGTTAGTAGTCAGAGGTAGCACTTAAGTGAGGCGGACAAATGCCTGGGAGTGTATATAAGAATAAATAATTTGAAATATTTTGACATGCTGCTGGGTTCTAAATTAACTAATCACTGAGAAGAAAGCTGTGGGTGTCTTTAGGGCTAGTTTAAGGGAAAATTCTGGCCTCAGTGGAACAGCAATCAAGCTAAACTACGGGGAAGGATGCCTAAAGAATGGGATAGAAAATACCACCAAACATGTCAAGTCATTGAAGTCATGATACACCACATTTACTGATCTCAGTTCTGGTTCACCCAGTCAAATAATGCAGCATTCCTGGAGAGGGTTCAGAAATAGGTGTCACTAATTTGTAGAATATATTATGATCAAGGCCAAGAGCTTACTAAGATCAGATACTAATATGAGTAACAAAGGATTTAAAAAAAAGGAGTGGGGGGAGGGTCAAAGGTATTCAATTTTTAACTTTATTCTTTAGACCATAAACCAACCTGTGATTGTTAGGAAGAAACTTCTGTGGTTATTTCAAGTTGTCTACAACATGTTTTCTTGTACTTGTCCTTTAAGCATCTGGTACTGGTCTTGATCAAAAATGACATAGAACTAAATTGATGACCAGATCAATGGCAATTACTTTGTTTAGCTTGTTTTCATTATTCTGTCTTCCTGGAGAAACCTGTTTTGTATACAACTTGAATTAAAATGAATACATTAAGGCTACGTCTACACTGTGGAGCACCTGCAGGATACCTCTGGTATTTTGAAAGAGCTATTCTGCTTCTTAAGAGCAAGCCAGTTATATCGAAATATAATGGGATCACTATTCCAACATCCCTGTAAACCTCATTGCGAGGGTTAAGGGATGTTTTGGAATAATGCTGTATTTCGAAATTTGGTGCTGTGTAGACCGTGCCAAATTTCAAAATAAGCTATTTTGAAATTACTTCAAAATAAGCTACACAATTTGCATAACACAAATTGTGTAGCTTATTTTGAGCTACAGGTGCAGTGTAGGCACACCCCCAGATAGCATCTGCTTAGAACCTAAAGCTATATTTACCTACAACCAATTTAAAATGCATTTTGGAACTGCCCCCTAAAAAAAATACTGCCAGTCAATTTTCTTGCCCTGAAATTACATACAAAAGACTAATGATAGAGTATTTCTGAATTCTTGAAGTTCAGCTCCCTTTCAATTCACCTGCATTCCCCCCACTCTTCATTTGCTGCCCTTTTTGTGTTGTTCAAAAACAGCAAATGTGGTTTATAGTATTTCCTTGGGAAAATTATGTTGGAGCCTAATCAAGCTGTCAGAAACCTTTTTCAGATACTCAGCTTATGATTTCATCTTCCCATCATTCACAATCCATGTACTAGTCTAAAATCATTCCTCTCTAATCTTTATGGTTACAGAAAATATCTTTAAATACAATTTACTACTTCTTCCTTCTAAATAGCAAGTATTCATTCATCTGTTAGAGTTGCATTTTTGAGGTAAGGAATTTTCTTTAAAACCATCAGTTTAATTCTTTATGGTTTTGCTTATATTCAAGCAACTGGGAAAATCTTTGGAGTATGGGAATAGATCACTGCATGCTACTATGAGGTGCTTTTAAAGTTTCTACATGGTCTTGAACATAAGTATCAGATCTGTTAGAAGAATTTTTCCTTGGTACATAAATTGGTGACATCTGCTTACATGTGAACACAAACAGATGGGTGAGATCCTCTCTAATTCCACTTTGTAGTTGTATCAAACTAGTTACTAGACACATTTTGGAATTATATTTGAAATTATTGAAGGTTTCTTTTTATAGGATTATATCTTTCCTTATGTGAACTCACTTTTTCACATCTCAGCCATCAATCCTAAAAATGTACAGTACGAAGGAAAAAAGTTGGGAAGAAAAAGGCATAAGTATCTCCCCAAATGCTCTTTCTGCTCATGTTAAGGAATATTATTTTTAATTAATCCAGTGTTCACATCAATTTGTTAAAATGTGTTTAAGCTACTCTTCCATGGGAACAATTCTAATTAAACCTAGCGGTGAATGGAATACACAGCAATGAGAGAGCAGTCCCGGGAGACAGCTTTGATTGTGACAATCTTGTGCCCCTCTGAGATGAAAGAGGGCCACTCAGGCATCCCCGACTAGCCTAGATTGACCCTTGCTGCACAGCATATGGCCACTACGTTGTCTTAGTGCTAAAGGGAAAAAAAGCAGTTTAAAAGTGGAATGGGACAGCACAGTTTCCACACTCCTGGCATGGAATCATTTCACGGACGGGGATAAACAGGGAACTAACGGAAATAAGTATGTCATGAGATTGATTCAATGCAGTGGCGTAGCCAGACAGGCCCACTTGAGTGGGCCCCAGCTTCGGCATGGTGGACAAGAATAGGAGTGCGGGGGAGCAGGTCAGGAGGGATGGGATGGTAAACCTGGCCCCACTCCCTAGATGGAGCGCTGGGAGGGAGTGGAGTAAGCCCCAGCTCCATGCTCCAATCCCGCTCCCAGACTGTGGAGTGCTGGTTGGGCTAGAGGAGAGTGGGCCTTGGTGCAAAATGGGTGGGCCATAATCTACTCAGGCTCATCTGTGGCTCTGCCCCTGGAACAACAATGTAGTGTAAACAGAAAAATGTCACTGAACAACAATATGTTAGGGTCATTGACTTGCTCCTGTGCTACTGCAGTCAGTGGCAGTTTTGTTACTGACCCCACTCGTAACAAGATTATATATTTTAATTGAGAGCCAAGCACCTGACTCCTTGTACCTATACATAGATTAAGATCTCAAGCCACCTTCACAAAGCTCCCGGATGCATGGCTGTGGAGATCATGGGGGAATGCAATCTAATGTCTCAGAAGGCCCTGTTACACTTGAGGTTAGTGCTGAGAAGAGGCACTGAATATGAAGTAGCTGTGCAGGAAAAAGACTGGATCAGACCTTCCACAGTATTTTTGTTTTCTTAAATTTTCAGGTAGAAAGTGAATTTTGTGTTTTCAGAAGTCCATAGCTGCCAGGGGGTCTGCCATCTGAATATAGCGCCATGGATTAAAAACTTTTGTGCAGATGTTTCTGACCTTGCAAGAGTAAAGACCACATGATCCAGTACATGCGCACTCAGACACACCCTGTACAGTTTACTCATAGGAATTACCACCGTGGCTTAGCACTGTGGTCCATCTTATCAAGTATCCTGTAACCAATCAATTAATTACATGGTCAGTTCCAGCAGCCAGCCAGGAGCCATGCACAGAATTCCCTGAGCCCTTTCAGTCAACCAGGATCATCTCTTCTTCCCCCTACTCCATTTCAGCAGCAGATTGAATTTACACGAGTCCCCCACAGCTCCTTTTATGCAAGTCTGATGGGCCCCAAATGGCTGTACTGTGCAGTCTCTTTTCTGATTGGCTGCATTGTATGCAACCACTCTAGGCAGCTTGAAAGCCCTTCTCCATTGCCCTTTCCTGGGGTAAAGTAGGGCGGTGAGGCTTCTAGCAGGGGCCCTTAGGGCCTATTCCACCTGGTCACACTCCCATAACTTGGAAGCCCCAATTTTCCTGTGGTAGGTATCAAGTAGCCAGACTGCCAACGACTATGGAATTGATTATCATATTGAGTTACCTATCAAACATATCCATCTTAATTGGAAAATACTTTGGAACACATGTCTCTACCTATTTGGCGAGCTATGTGGCTGAATGTTTCAGAAGAAATCTTGTAAATAAATAAAATGTCTCCTCCTCATGTCAGAAAAACCCTCTTGCGCAATGCCGTTCTTCCTGAAAAGTAATAGGTGTAACGGCATTGCGCAAGAAGGGGCAGTGTAGACTCTCCTTCTTGCCCAAGAGCCTCTTCTGAAAAAAATGGTAGCTCATTAGGTATGGAAATGAGGCTCGGCGATATTCCATGCTTAGCCTCATTTGCATATTACTTGCGCAAGAAGCCACAACTGTAGACACAGCCTTAGAGTTTTAGCTTGTTGCCCATGATATCTAACTGCCATTTACATAAAATCAATAGCAGAGACCTTCAGGCACTGTAAGAAAACAGTGTAATGAATGGAGTTAGTCAAATATATACATTAAACAGTGGTAGAGACAATATTATATGTAG